TACAAGATGATATGTTTTTCTGTTTCATCTATTATTGCTACAACCGTGACCGGACTAAATCTTATTTCATGTTCGCTGATAACACTTATAATGGGTTTTTCTGTTTCAAAACTTAAAATCAGTTCACTTTCTTTTCTAACTTCTGTAACCGTTTCAAAATGTTCAATTTGCTCTTCTGGTTGAGTCATTTGCATTGTTAATTCTGTAATAGTTTCGCTTAAAGAATGAACTAACTCCGTTGAAAACGTTCTTATTTCGGACAACTTTTGTGGTTCAATAATAGTTTCAATAGTGTGCTCAACAGGTTTTTCCGCTTCAACAACTTGTTTAACTATTTTTTCCTTTTCTTTGCATCTTTGAAAAATGATATCATCTTTGACAATGTTAACAACATTCTCTTTTTCTTGAATTATTTCAGACTTGACTTCGATAGATTTTTCTTGTGTTGACGGCTTGTCATACAAGATGTTATGTTTTTCTGTTTCTTCTATTATTGCTACAACTGTGACCGGACTAAATCTTATTTCATGTTCGCTGATAACATTTATAGTGGGTTTTTCTGTTTCAAAACTTAAAATCAGTTCACTTTCTTTTCTAACTTCTGTAACCGTTTCAAAATGTTCAATTTGCTCTTCTGGTTGAGTCATTTGCATTGTTAATTCTGTATTAGTTTCGCTTAAAGAATGAACCAACTCCGTTGAAAACGTTCTTTTTTCGGCCAACTTTTGTGGTTCAATAATAGTTTCAATAGTGTGCTCAACAGGTTTTTCCGCCTCAATAACTTGCTCAACTATTTTTTCTTCTTTGCATTTTTGAAAAATGATATAATCATTTTCTGGTTGTTCACATTCTACTAAAATTGGTTCTGGACTTAGCCTTATTACATGTTCAGTAGTCACTATGTTGGAAGGTTTATCTTCTTTAAATTCGATTACAATTTCGCCATCCCGTTTTGATTCTTTTACGATCTCAAAAGTCGAAACTCGATGTTCAATGTTTTCCACTAATTCAGGTATATCCATAGTGATTTCAGTAACAGCATCACCAAGATTATGGACAGTTTCCGTCGAATACAGTTGTGGTTTTTGAGGTTTAATTATTGTTTCTGTACTGAACTCAAACAATTTTTCAATTGTTTCTTTTACATTTTCCGTTAATTTGTCGTTTGATATATTAAATTCATTGCTTTTTATTAAAATATCAGTAGTTTTTTCAACAGGCATTGCTTTCTGTAGTTCATTTAATTTGATTTCAATGTGCTCAGAAACTTCTGATACCGCAAAAACAGTGACGGGACTCAGCCTAAATTCTTGCTCGCTTATCATTGAAGCAATTGGCTTTTCGTCTACAAATTCCAAAATTATCTCGCTTTCTTTCTTAATTTCGCTTACATTTTCAAACTGTTCATCCTGTTCTTTGGGAAGTGTCATAGTTATTTCTGTATTTGAACTAGACAATGAATGAATTAATTCAGTTGAATACACTTTTTCCACAACATTTTGCTGCGATATGAAAGCTTCAGTAACGTGCTCTTGTTGTTCCTCTTGTTCTACGGATTTTTGATATGTCATTTCTAATATTTCTGGTTCTTCTAATATGATATTTACTGTTTCTGGACTAAACCTCAATTCACATTCTGTAATTATTGATTTAACTGGCTTGTCTTTTTCCAACTCCAAAAAGATTTCATTTTTTCTACTTATTTCTGTAACAGTTTCAAAATTCGTTGAAATGTCATTCGGAGTTTTTTCAGTTTGTGCAACGATCATAATTTCAGTTTTAGGCTCGTTTAAGTTATGCGTGTGTTCAGTCATAAAATATTTTTCATTAAATGTTTGACGGTTCATTAGAGTTTCAACAGTGTGTTCATACAAATGTTCTTCGATTTCAGATATTTTTTGTTTTTCAAAAATATGCGCAATATTTTCTTCACAAATTGTTTCTGAATTTGCTTCAATAACAGGTTCTTTTTCAATTAGTTGGTTAATTACAACGTCAACCAATTCAAGTGGTTGAGTAGCAAAGGCAATAGGAACGGGACTGAATCGAATTTGATGTTTGCTGATATTTACCATTGGCTTCTCTTCTTCAAATTCAAGTGCTATTTTGCTGTCTTTTTTAATTTCGGTATTACTTTCAAATACAGGCATAGTTTGATCTACATTTCTTGCTTTTTCTACTTCCATTGTTAATTCCATAAGCTGTGGTCTAAGATCACGAATCAGTTCAGTGGAATAAAATCTTTTTTCTATTTCTAATATTTTTGGTTTAATTGCTGTTTCAGTAATAAGTTCAGTATGTTTTTCTAGCATTACGTCACAAATCTCTAGTGGCTCAAAGGTTTTTTCTGTTGCAGTCGGACTGAGTCTTATTTCATGTTCGCTAATTATATTTTTAATTGGTTTAGTGTGCTCAATTTCTAGAACTATTTGCTCATTTTTCTTAATTTCTCTAACAAACTCAGATACCGATTCCGGATAGGGTAACTCACTTCCAGACTCAGTAACCTGCATTGTGATTTCATGCTTAGGTTCATTTAAAGGATGAGTTACTTCGGTAGAATAAACTTTCTTTTCTACATAAGTTTGCGGTTCTTTAAATTTTTCTACAAAACCATCGACAACATCTAACATTTTTGGATACTCAATGTCAGACGTTAAGTTAATTTCATTGTTTTCTTCTATAACTTCAACTAAAGCTTCTACTTTTTTAATCGGTGTTAAGATTGACGTTTTCACATCTGTTGAGTGTAATGTCACTTCCACTGTTTCTTGCGCTTTATCCAAGATGACAAAATTTAATTCAGAGGTGACAGGTTTTGTTTCGTAATCGATAATTAATTCCGCTTGTGGTTTTAATATCTTTTGTAGAACAAATTCAGATGTAACACTTTCAAGACTTTCGAAATCAACAGTTACTTGTCTTGTTTCTGCAACCACTTCACCGGCAATTTCACTTGAATAGATTTCAATTTTATCAACAAATTTTGTATCTAACTCAGCTATTTGAACACAATCTAACGTTTCAAAACTATTGTCCACCACTCGGCTATTCATATGCTCCTTATTTGTTTCAAATGATTCAAGTTCTTTAACATGGTCATCCATATAAAGAAACTGAGTCACTGGAAGAGCTGAAGATTTTGGTTTAGACATGGCTGACATTTTATTTAAATTTAATGTAATATCGGTTACATTTTCAATACTGTAAAATTTTGTTTCGTAACCTAGCTCTACCATTTCTAAAGATTCCTCTTCCTCAACTTCTTCTGCATGGAGTTCGTCAGTCGCTGTGAATGGAAGCTCCACATTAACAGTTCTTTCTTTGAAACCCTCAGTGATCAAATCCATAATTAATTTTGTTTCTTTACGTGATTCAGAAATGAATTCACTGACCTCTTCGGGTTCGACGTCCACATTTATTTCTAATTTTTCGCTTCTTTCTTTCACATTTGTAATAATTTCACTCAAATGATATTCCGGAACTTTTACAGTGTACTTTATTTCATTACTAAATTCTTCTACAACCACAGGTACTATGGGTATTCCAACAGCCGTTATGTGATTAGATGTTTTTTCAAATTCAAAAGTTACAGTTTTTGTAAGCACATTTATTTCGTCTGAAACAATTTTTACCACTGTAGGTTGTGCCGCAACATCTAAGTAGCATTCAAAAGATGATATTTCAAAAGTCGGTGACACAGTCAATTCTCTAGATAGTCTAGTTTCAAATTTTGCCGTCGAGTTAACAAAGGATTGATCAGTGTTTTTAGAAAGAGGAACCGAAAAAGTAGTTGACTCAACTTTTCTTTCTGTAGCAGCGTGATAAACTTCCGGCTCAGAAGTTATTTTTTCGACTTTGCATAAAACAGTGTCCTCTAAAGTAGAACTTACAACTTTGGCAACCGACTTGGACGTCAAAGGTTTAAAAATGTCAACGGTCACACGGTCAGCGAGTTTTGTTTCAATCGCTTCCGGTTCCAGTCCGACGTGAGCAGTAGCGCATTCAACCGGACGAACATGATGAAAGGGCACAGTGCGAGTTTCTGGCCTTAAATGCTGAGTTCCATATTTTAAAACCACATCCCTAATTTCTGGCAAAACGACATTACAAACAACATCCGCAACTTCATTCACGCCAATGTCATCCACTCGCGTATCATTGACAAGCACCGCTCTATTTTCAGGCTTACTTTCTATCATTAGAACCGCTAAAGAATGAGTAGGCTCGGTAGGTACAACTGCAGCATTTGTTTCTTCAGTTGTTTTTATAAGTTCCCGAGTCGTTTGAACAACATATGGTGTTACTATTTGTGGTGCAACTTGCGTCTGAATCGGACTTCCGGAAGCGATTGAAATATCTTGCGTCAATGTAACTTTTCTTTCAATAGGTTTGACCAATGGGATGTCGAATGTAGCAAGAGATGTGACTTCCACCGGTACATCTTCTTTTTCCTGTGATACTCTTTTTTGGACCTGCCACTTCACATCTGCCATTAGAATTGTTTCTTCGTAACCACGTTCGGCCACGTCAAATTCTTCAATGACCATTTCTTCAAATTTTCTGTTGACTTGGCTGTCACCTTCATGGACTTCTTTTTTCAATTTATCCATATTTTCAAGAAATTTTTTGGTTCGAGTCTGGAAATCGCTGTCATCCATAGAAGAGGACGAAAATATAGACTCAGTTTGAGAAGCTGTTGCTTCTTCGCTGTCAGGTATGTATTCATAAACTGTTTGGAAAATTATTTCTTGCATTAAATCATTGAAATTCGCAGTTCTTTTAAATAAAAATCAAGTAAATTTTTTACAGTACTACTAACTAATTTACAAATAAAATCATATTAATTTATCAAACTACTTACTAACTACTTATCACTTACTTTAATCATGAATTATATTCTTAAACTAACAAAGTTTTAAAGATAATTTTTACTGAATGATTAAACCATTGGTTTAACTTTTTATGTCAGATAAATTAAACGGAAAACTATAAACTCGTTAACCTTCTACGATCAATTGAGCCCTCGTCGTGGCAGAACCAAATTTATTGACGGCCACACACTCGTATATACCAGTGTCTTGTGGGAATACTTCTATTATGAATAATATCACATCTCCGGTATCCCTATTATATGACGTTCGAAAATCCGGATTATCCAATACCAATTTTCCATTGTGATACCAAGTAACATCGGGCATAGGGTTAGCTTTGACTTTGCAAGTAAATCTAACCTCGTCCCCATCCATAACTTTTTGAGATTGCAACTGCCATAAAAATATTGGTGGTGTGCCAGTTTCAACGACGGCTATCTTAACTTCCTGTCTCTGGGTTTCCATAGCCTGAATACGTTTAGTTTTAACAATTTCCAAGGCACTCATTTCCGTAACATCATGAACGGTCGGTTGTTCCTCCACTTCAACTTCTAGTCTTACTGGTTTCGGGGCAGATTTTTGCATTACAAGTACTTGTGATAATTCCGGTTTGATTGGCAGATCTAAATGCAATACCATTTCTTTAGGCTTCTTTCGCAGCTCAACTGCCAACGTTTCTGAGAATCTTCGCTGATGTTTGATAAGTGGAATCGTAAGCTGTTGTCTTTCCGTGCAGGCAGCTTCAACTCTCTTTTTCAATTCTATCATCATTTCCTGCGTCACGATAGGTGGAGGTTCCACGTCAACCTCCATTTTGATTCCGACTGGAACAGATTCTCTGCGAACCAATAATTCAGATTTTTGAATTACTGGTTTCGGTAAATGAAACTGCAAAGCCATTTCCTTCATCTTTTCTTTGTGATCAACTGCAATTGTTTCTGAAAATCTTCTAGCTTCTTTCGTAGGTGGCATGTGGAGTAGCGGGGACTGAGTCATGGTCTTAATGATTTCAGTGGTCTGGTTCATTGTTATGCATGGAGCTGCGTAGTCAATCTCATCTCTAGATGTAGATAACGAAGTTGACGGCACTGTAGATAAAAATCAACGAAGTAAATAAATAGATCAATGATCTCTAATTCTTCAAGTATTGATTTACAACTTGAGAATCTATTTTTTGAAATAGTAATGATGTGTTTTTGTTTTGATTTTTTCAATTTTATAAAAAAAAATTTTTTCTAAATTTAAAAACAACAAAATCATTATATCATTATGTTTGTATAAGAAGAAAGATGCCCTAAATGAGAAAAAAACAAATCATTCATACTCATTAGCAGTACTACCTCGAACAAACAGGTGGCAATGAGTGACGGCTGTCCCGAATTCATTTTCAGCTTTGCAGGTGTATTCGCCTTCATCTTCGGGGAACACTTCCACAATGACGAGAGTCGATTCACCTCGTACTTTGTTCACCTAACGAATTTATTTGGTCATTGAAAAAATAATTTTAAAATGTTTTAATTTTTTGAATTAGGACAAAAAACATTAAGTTAACAAAAATAAACAAAGAGTTGTGTTGTTTTCTTTATTTGAGTAGAATACCATCTTACGTTGATTTTAAAATCTTGGCTAGGATGAATAGGTTGATTGTTGAAATACCATGTCACCGATGGCATTGGCTTTCCTTGAAAAATAACCCTAAAAACAACTTGTTCGTTGTCACATGAAGACTGATTTCGCAGGGGTAATGTAAATTTTGGCGGCTCTTTATCAAGCATCGTCTGCAACTCTGACGTCACCAACTCCTGTTGTTGTCTGGGAAAGAATGTAGTTGTCGTTGTTGTAGGTTTTGGTCTTTGATCAACTTGAAATGACTCGATAGATTCAAACTGAACTGTTGAAATAGGCTGGTCTTCTGAAATTAGTTGAAGATTTGAACGTGGCTAATGTTTTTGACAATTATTCACTACTTATCTAATGAAATAATAGTGGAAAATATAAACAAAATTGCCGCTAAACAACTTTTCTTAAATGCACTAAAGTTCCATATAAAAACCCTCCATCAATATCTATACGAACTTTTAATTCTGAGCAAAGTCTTGGTTGAGGCCTCCCCCAAGTTATTGCTCGCTTTGCAGACATATTCACCCGCGTCAAGTGGACTGACATTGTGCAGTGTCAACGTAGTTGTGGTCCGGTCAAAGGTCAAAGTTGTACGCGGGGTGTTCGTAATCTCCCTACCGTTGAACAACCAGGTCAGCATCGCTTCCGGTTCCGCGTTGACTTTGCACGCAAATCTTGAATATTAAAATCATTCAAAAATTGAAGGTAATGTATTAGTAGGTAGTTATCACATTCGCTTACTATTATTATTAAGCCTGAAATATTCAATTGTATTGTTCATTTATGGATTCAAACTTTTTACATGCCAGCTCAATCATAATTACTTGACGGTTTCTCCTTCATAAGCTTCTGTTAATGGAAAAAGATTTTCAATGAATGATGGAGAATTTTCCACAACTCTCGTTTCCTGGTCTCCAACGACTGTCACCTTCTCCTTCTTCACTGAAACTGTCTTCTCCGTCACCGTCACTTCAGCGTCGGGAGCTGGAATATAACGATGGAAGTGATTAAAACAATTCGTTTCTATAAAGTTCAGGGAAACATGAAAAATTGGTAGCCATCATAATAAAAGAGCAACAAACTGATGTGAAAAAGATGATGTGGTACTAACGGACAACAACAACGTTGGCGGTGCATGTGGCCTTTCCCGCCAAATTGCTCGCTCTGCATGAATACACTCCAACGTCTTCTGGGCGGACATCAATGATTTTCAAAACGCAACTTCCGGTGGCCGAATCAAAACTTGCCACGTGTCTGTACGTTAATGGTAGGTCTAATTTATCCTTCAGCCAGACTATTTCCGGTTGCGGCACTCCAGAGACTCTGGCTAGAAACTGGCATGACTCCCCTGGTCTCACAATGCATGGCTGGATGGGTTGGATAAAGCGAGGAGGCTGACCACTCGTTCGTTTCACGGCCTGTGTGTAAGTGTTGGAGGCATGAGATGTTTCTAAATATGTTATCAACGCAAACAAAAAATTTATTACCACAATTTAACATTTTAATTTTTTTGAACTTCATCTGAATCAACTTTTATTCAACTTTCAAATTCAACTTTAAAATAAAATTGAAATAATACGGAATAACCGTATCAACCTTCTTAATGACCGTTATGTCTCCGTTGACAATCGGGGCCTCATCAGATTTGGCAGGTTGAGGTGGCGAACGAACGGTCAACGTACACTCACTGACCGCTTGGCCTACAAAATTTCATTTGCGAATAAAATAAAATCCAGCAGCTAAATGAAATAATCAATTTTTAAAATTAAAAAAATTTAAATCTGTAAATAAAACATAAACAGATATAGTTTTCATGTGAAAAGATGTTGAAACATGAAACAAAATCCTCACCAGCTTGATTGGTGGCAATGCATCTGAACTTTCCTTGGTCATCTGGCAAGCAGTCGACGATGACCAGTTCAACATTGCCAGTTTCTTTGTTGCAGTTGATGACAAAGTCTTCACATTTGTCGATGCACCGGTGGTTATGGTACCACGTGATTTCAGGAAAGGGTTGACCTTTAACCTGACAGGTCAAAACGACTTCACGCCCGTCTGTGCCAACAACGTTTTCGAGATTTCGAACGAAGAAGGGAGGAACAGGTCTTGGTTCAGAAGCTTCATTGATTCGTTTGAAAATGTTCAGAAATAAAACCGAACAATTAAAGTGAATGAAAATCGTAATATTCAATGATGAACACTTACATATCACAATTAGTGTTGTGCTGGTGATCGCTTCACCGGCACTTGACGAGGCCTTGCAAGTGTAAACGGCCGAATCTCGGGCTGTTACATCCCTGATTTCTAGAACGTTCTTATCTCCTTGCACACTTTGCATGAATTTATTGGAAGGAGGTAGGGAGACTCCATTAATGTGCCACGTGACGTCAGCAGGGGGGCTGGCCTTCACCTTGCATTCCAATCTGGTTTCATTTTTATGAATTAATATTTTATGTAAATTTCATTCAATGTTATAACTGTAGATAATTATAAATTATATTAAATTAAATTTAAATTATTTTTTTTACAATCAACAGGCAAGTTTCGATTTATTTACGAACGCAGTATTATTGTCTTGTTCGTCGTTAACATTTTTTATTTAAAACAATTAGTTTCATTAATTCAATTTGCAGCAACATACCTGGCTACTGTTCTCTCTGAAACTTTTGTTTCTGGCTTCAAAGTGACGACAAAAACTGGCGGCATGGATAGGGATGTCGTTGGTGGTGGAGCCGGTGGCTGAACTGCAGTCGTTGCAGCTGCTACAAGTTTTTCAAAAATGTTAAGTGGTTAAAAAAATAGTAATTTTTAGTATTAAATAATTTATTAGTAGTTAGTAAATAAGAAAGTATGATTTTCAACAATAATGAGACAGACCTACTACTACTTCCACCACTACTACTTCCACCACTACTACTTCCACCACTACTACTTCCACCACACTACTGCTAACCTAAAAAATGTTTCCAAAAAAATGACGCAACTTTGAAAATATAATTTGAATGAACGAGGGCTGTGAAAACATTCTAACGTTGGTGAACGACCACGGTAGTTTTGCAAACGGCATCCCCGAGTTCGTTGAAGACTCTCAGGACGTAATCACCTCCATCATTCGGCTGGAGATTGGTCAGTATGAGTAGGATGACCCCATTGTCGTAGGATAGGTTGTGTTTGGTGGATGGCTGGATGGGTCTGTTCTTCGTCAGCCACTGGAAGTTAGGGGGAGGGTTAGACTCCACTTGAACTTCAAGCCTGGCAAATTTAAGGGAAAATTACAAACTTTGAAACTATGTCTCAAAAACGTAAACACACGTTAAACCGTGTAATATGAGAATAGTACTGAATATAAAAACATGTAAAAAAAAACAACTTTTTTTATTTTTAATGATTGATTAGTCGGACTTCAAATTTTTCACGTTTTTCTGAAATTTTTCGTTGATTTCTCGGTATTGTTGCGGTTGCGCTTATGTTTGAGAACACCGAACCAGAAGAGCAGTGAGCGAGAGAAGAAAAAAATAGTTTTCGTTTGGATAGACTGGACACGTGTTTCGTCCTTACCGGGAATTCATCAGCAGCCCGAATACCTATCGGAAGAGCTATCGCAGTTTCTTATATAGCCCACACAAATTACCTCGTTAGCTCGTGGTATTTCATTTATTATTGAAAATTGTTAGTTTCCAGTCGTTAGGATTTCAATTCGTCAGTATTCTGTGGCAAATTTTAAACTTAACAATCTAAAAACTGAAATGAATATCGTTCGCGAGCGTTGTGAGTCAAGAAGCTAAAAAAACGTTGGGATCATAGGCAGAGAGGTTAAAACTGTTCAAAAAAACATTGGATGTTAGCGCCTTCACAAAGACCTGAGGGACCCTGCTCTAAGTGTTGACAAGTCCAAGAGGATGTTGAAAACTTATTCATTTTTGATGTTTTATCAATCAATAACGATTATTTTTTATCAATTTAATAAATGATATATTTGTTCATTGGTTATTTTTGACAATCGTTCATTTGTAAGCATTTTTGAAAAACTTTTTAATTAGCGCCGTATAAATGTTCTAATGATGATGATGAGATGATAATCAAAGATTGAATGTACATCGCAGTATAGGATATCTTACTTGATGACACTGCCAACGGCTCCAACAACCGACGGAGGCAGACTTTTGGTGATGATTGGAGGTTTTTTTGGTGCAGAAACAGGTGCTGCATGGAATACGTCCATGCTTTTTGAAGATACTTTCGTGCCGTCTGCCGAATAAAAAATTTTAAAAATCATCCACAATATCTTAGTTTCAGTTTTTGCAACATAAAACACATCAGAGTGAATTAAAATTTACATCAACACATTTTGTTAAATGTTATTAAACCACTATTCATTCGGGATAAAGAGAATAAACTCGAACCAAGGACGTTGAGTTTGGCAGAACACTCGGCGACACCTGCCGGGTTTGTGGCTCTGCACGTGAAGACACCAGCGTCTTCAAATTGCACCTCCTTAATTATCAACCAATACTTATCGCTGTTTTGTAGAATCTGTCGTATGTTGTTTGGATGATTAAATCGTTATATTGTGTAGCTGGATAATGATTTGATTTTATTGAATGAAAGATGTATTTAAAGTTATAATAAATATATATTATTCAACAAATTCGTCCAATCACAAACCTGGAAATCAGGTCCATGAAATATTTGCTGGCCTTCGTGGAACCAAATGACGTCAGGGGTTGGGCTGCCTGTCAGAAAAACTTCAAAAAGAGCCTGACCACCTTTGATGACGTCAATTTCATAAATGGGCTTCAAAAACTGGGGCGGAGTCATCTCGATGAAGTTCAGTTGACTGACAACTGCTTCCTTAGGTTGCGATGCCGTCGAATAATGAGGATGGGCTGTTTGTTTGTTGTCAGCAAACTTTTGTTATTTAATAAATTCATTCATTCACTACTGGTTCTACTGGTTACACGAAATATTTCAACAAACAATTTTTTCAAAAATTGATAGGTAAATAGAAAATAAAAATAAACAAATATTTGACACTAACATCTTATGAAAAGTTTTCCGCTAGTTTCAACATGCCCTTTGGCATTCCTGGCAACACATTTGTACGATCCTTCGTCTTCCGAAAACACGGCTGCCAACTTCAAAACATGGCTTCCGTTGGGTTCAGAGGTCATGGTGAAATATTTGGAAGGTTTGATTGGCTGACCATTGTGGTACCACGTAACTACAGGGTAGGGTTCACTGACGATGACGCATTTTAATTGGACGGATTCGCCTTCGTTGGCTGTGACGTCTTGAAGGGGCTGCAGCAACTTCGGGAAAGTATGGGTCGATGGTGGAGACGGAGCTTTCACGAATCGTGGCTCACCTGGAAAACAGTTCACTTTCATTAAATTCTTATATTGATGTCAAATGTGTTTTTTTCAACAGTTCAATCCGATTAATTTGTTTATTATTCAGCTGAATAAAACCATTATTTCAAAAAAATATTCAAAAATTTGTTAACTTGTTGAAACATCTAACGTATTTGAGAACGTTAACTTTGCAAAAAATTCAACTAATAAAAAAAGTCAATTTGATAAGTTAACAAGTGAATAATGCATTTCTCCACGGAAATAAATGAGTATCCAACGCTCCTCAACAACTCATCATCATACCTTTTATGGTCAGCTTGGCCGAAGTTGACTGCCTGCCGAGTTTATTGGTGGCTTCACATACGTACACGCCCTGGTCGACAGGGGTGATGTGGTAGATGAGAAGGGTCTGGTGACCCTCATCGTCTGTCACTGTTTTGTAGCGGGGACTCTCTGGAAGTTTCTGGCCGTCCTGTTAATGGAAGAATGGAAGGTCAAGGTTACGTTGTAGGAATGGTCATGTTTAGTTAATTTGATTATCATATAGACAGCAAATAAATTGTTTAAAAATAGTTTATGAAATAGATGAACAAACTTCGAAAATATAAAATCAAATGTAATGAATAAGCAAAAATGTACTTCAAATCCATTTCCAAGCACAACAAAAACATTAAAATAAATAACAATGACTTTGATGACTTTCTACGCAAGATGTCTCACCTTGAACCACGTGACTTCCGGCTTAGGATGGCCTACAATTTTACAGTCAAAAGCAACTGGTTCGTTTACGTTGACGGATATGTCCTGGAGGTAATTTTTCACTTCCGGTGGAGAATCCTTGACCTTGTCAAAATCATCTGTTCGGTAGGTGGATTGTAGGATTATTAAGTAAGTTGATGAGCAAAAACAAAATTATAGTCTCCAGTTCATATTCAAAAAACTGCACTAACCGAACAAAATATATTACAAATGATTCGAAACACGTTTCAAAATCACTGTTGGTAATTTATTACAGTTTTGCCAGCCAGTCTATTTTAAAACATTTCAAATCCTTCAACATTTGTGCCGTAGAAATGTCAGCAACATAAATATATTTATTATTATCACTGTAGAGATTCTTGGAATAAAAAGCAAACCTTCGACTTTCAGGACAGCTCTGCACTCTGCAAATCCAGTGTCACTCAGGGCACGAACGCTGTAACTTCCGGCGTCTTCTGGAAATACTTCCGGTATGAGCAGCTGACTGCTTTGAAATGATTGGCTAATTTGAAAATCACGTGACGGTTGAATTTCAACGTCATCTCTGTACCATTTTATTTCGGGAGCAGGAAATCCGGTAAAAAAGATTTCAAATCTGTAATTTAATTATGAAATTGAATGTCAATGAATGTAGTTTGTTCAGAACATGCATTCGTGTTTATTTATTGTTACCCATTAAGTATTCACTCATCAATTCATTGTTGTCAGTCATCAATTCATTGTTGACCATTATCAATTTATTGCCGACCATCATCAATTCATTGTTGGCAATCATCAATTCATTGTTGTCAATCATCATCTCATTGCTGGCCACCATCAGTTTGACTCACTTCACAGGAGCGCCTTCCTTAGCAGAAACATTTTGCAGTGATTTCGTAAAGACTGGCGTTTCTTTCTTGATGGGTTGAGTTTTCTGAAACAGCTTGCAACTGACCTCAAAATGATCGGTGTCAGGCTGCTCGATGATTGTGGTGGTCGTCTTGCTTATATGGACAGTAGAGTCTATGAATGAATGTCGGCTGTTGATGTCCGGCTGAAATTTTGATGGCCCGTTCGGCAAAAACTCCACAGGACCTGTCATCATGTATCATTATTACTGTTATCACCATCGTTAAAATTATCATTATTATTATCATCGTCGTTATCATCCTTCAGTTGCCTAATCATCCTTCCCATCCCACCGTCTTTTCTTTATCAGTGAAAGTTTTAAGATTGAGATCATCTTATTCATCGAAATCAGCGCTAGCATTTTCGTTATTCTACCACATGTCGTCTGTTCTCGCAAATCCAGCCTCTGACCAATCAATTCAAATTTCATTTAATAACTTCTCACCGAATGATGGTTTGGCTTTCCAGTCGTCCTTGGCCATCACCTTCAGTGACGTCACAGCTTCGGCAACGTTGACCTGATTCCTGGCAACGACCCTGACCTCTCCTGAGTCGTAATCACGTGCCTTGGCGATTTCGAGCACGTGATTTGAACCGTCGTGAGTCACGCTAAATCTTTGATTCTGATAAATTGTTAATTAACTTATTTATATAGTTAATAGTTAATTATTGCATATTAATAATTTAATTAACCTGGTTGTAATTAAATTTTTGTGCCACAAACTTTGAACACGCTTTCCACTCTACTCGAAGTACGCATGCATTTGAATGCACAAACTGTTTAAGCTACTCAAAGAGTGTCATCCACATTTAGTGTGCGACGGTTTTTAGTTTCAGACAGACGAAGTTCGAACCAGGTCAGCGCGCAGTAGCTTTTGTTCAGCAGTCAAACAACCTGAGCTAACTTGCCACGAAAAGCTTTTAAATTGTCACAAATCCACTAACGCTAATAGCTTCATCTCCATTAATGTACCACGTGACTTTTGGCCTGGGATTTCCGTTGACCTTGACATGGAATCTGGCCGGTTGACCTTCATCGACGTTTACATTGCTCGGAAGAATCTCAAAAGTTGGAGCAGTTTGTTGCTCGGTGACGTCATTAATTTCGCTGATTTTTATTAGTTGATTGGTGTTTATCAAAGTTTTAAAGTAATTTTGTAATATTTCATGCGCTATGTTCCTTTTAAAAATTAATTTTTTTAATTTAACCTCGACATTTCCCACCAATTATACTATTGATATTTTGTAAAATTTTAATACTTTATCGCTGCCGACATCATCTTTTATTTATTATCGCTATCATAAGACGTCACATTCACATACGACACTCTCATCAATCTGACAATTATCATCAAACTCGTCACTGATATAATTATTGTTATCACTACCACAAGTCACCCTCACCACCACAATAATGACATACGTTTGAGGAAGATGGTGCAGGCCGTCATCCTCACGGACTTGCGATGTATAGATCACCGAACCCGAGCCTAAAAATAACAAATTACTCGTCACAATAAATTCTAATTATACTAAAAATAATTTTTATTAAGATACCGTAATACAATAATAAAACGACAACAAATGTAATAGTGATACCTTAAAATAAAAAATTAGATACAATGAAAACACAAAAAACTGTGAAACACAATACCACAACACATCAATACGCTCACAACACGCTCACACACCACACACAAAAATATAACAAACATACACCCATGCACACACTTTCTCACACACACACCCACCACACACACAAATTCCTAACCGGCACAGTTGAGTTGGGCGTGGGTCGTATCAGAGCCCCACTTGTTGACGGCTCGGCACATGTAGGTGCCATTGTCCTCAGGGTAGGTGTACAGGATGTGCAGAGTTACTTTGCCGAACTCATTCGTCTCTCTGAATCGGTGGCCTGTTTGTGGTTTTGATCGTTTTAACAATTGCGAAAGGATGAATATTTTCATAATTGGTGTGAAGGCGTGTGCGCGTATGATTAGTGAAATATTTTATTTAGGTATGAATATGATAAAATGTCGAATGTCGAATGTGCACAACTTAAACACAGTTAAATAAAACATTGATGGTGATACATGAGCATCAAATAGGATGAAAGATAGTGGTGCATGCATTGACTGTAGGGCAAGTTGAACAAATGAAATACATTTTTATATGACTGCAGCGTTTCACGGGTTAAAGTGTTCATTATAAATTTAAATTTCATATCTTATTTATAAATTAATAATTAATATAAATTAAAAGATTAATTATAGAAGCATCCCATCATCAGTAAACATGAGCAGCAGCTACAACCACCACAAACAGCACAAACAAAGCTGACCGTGCTTCAGTAGGACACCGTCCTTGAACCACTCAACCTTCATATCTGGATCACCCAGCGGGACCAACCGACATTCGAACTTGGCTGGTTGATTTTCAGTCAGATTTAAAAGCGATTTAATTGGCTGAACAAATTTGGGGGGTTTCGGAACATCTCTGTTGAATTTGGCATCGTCTTCGCTCTCCTTGCGTTCCCAAGACGGGTGATGTTGTACCGTCGGTGTCGGTGTTGGTGTCAATCTCAGTTCAGCCCTGCTGAGGTGGGAGGGGGATGCAGAGAAAGTTGCCGAGTCTCCAACTGGTCTGAATGGAAAGGTTGGTTCAGAGGGTGGTCGAACCGGAGAGGTCTTGCTCCTAATGAGTTTAATTAAATGCAAATGTTAATGTTAGTTATGAAGCAATTATTGCAATGAATTCGAATGAAGTGCTAAATGATTAAACTCACGGAGTCGACTGTGTACGCCTTGGCAGACTGTCGTAGGTCGGTTGTCTTGGCGACGCTGACGTAAAAAATTTAACCAAAAAAAGTTAATAGAATTGTTAAATAACAAATGTAAAGACAGATTAAAAACAATTAAAACAAGAAACATGTATGAACATTTGGCGACCAATATTAATGATTACTTACGTTGAACTGTTAATCGTACCCTCTGAACCTGGGCTCCCGACTGGTTGAACGCAGTGCACTGGTAGGTAGCAGAATCTTCAGGTTTGCAGGAGGAGATGGAGAGGGTGGTTCTGTGGCAAGAAGTTATAAATTTTCACTTAAAAACTGCTGTAATTTATTAATAATGCAAGTATATAATGTGTTAGAATTTTAGATATATTTTTACAGAAGAATTATAAACGTCAATTTCAAAACATTTACTGGCTGCATCACATTCAGAAGCCATTTAGTCAATCAATAAGTATTAAACGGACAACTCCAAAAGCGTGCAACCATCCAACCAATCCACAAATTAACCAACCTAGATCCATTCTGTTCAACGTTGTACCTGGAACAATCCTTATAGGAATCTAATGCCCTGCCATCCTTTTGCCAGATGTATTGAGGGTAAGGAAATCCTGAAGCTTCTGTCATAAAGGAGACTGGATTCCCTTCCTGAATAACTTGATCACTCAACGGAACTGAGAATTCTGGTGGAAACGGATTGGGAAGAGCTGGAAAAAAATGAGTTAAAATTAATTAACTTTTTAAATAAATTAAATAAACTATAAACTAATCCTTAACAAATAAAAAACATTGAAATAATCAAGGTTTAACAAACTATTTTACACAGTTTTATTTATTCACCAGTTTTCGCTATAAAACGAAATTATTAAAAAAATAATTTCAAAAATAAAATAACCGTCAACATTAAGCGCTACATTAAACTGATCACTTCCTGCCGCATTTGTAGCTATGCAGGTATAATTTCCAGCGTCATGTTTCGATACGGAATCGAAGATCAGGGAGTTCACTCCCGCTTCGTTGATGACGATTTTGTGCAGGCGGTTCTCGAGAACTTTTATCCCATTCCTGTACCAGTTGACATCCGGGGTGGGCCGCCCATGAACCACACAATCAAATCTAGCCATGTGGCCTTCAGGAACGATGATGTCACGTGGAATTTTGCGGAAGTGGGGTTTGAAGTATTGCTCGGATACTCCTCCCAACTCGTTTGGTCCTATTTTAGTGGGACTGGTCCGATGGATGGCGGTGATTAAATTGATGATAGTGGTAATTATTGCGATGAGGGTGATGATGATTTAACAATGATGAAAATGACAATGATGAATGTGAGAAGGACAATCGGGAAAGAAAATGGAAAATAAAATGAATAAATAATAGGTACCCACCTGATCCCAAGTCTCATGAGTGCTTCCGGAGAAAGATTGGAACTTTCATCGACACCAGGAGATGGCGGTCTGGCTGGTGTTGGCAGAGGTGGTGCTTGCTGAGTCCTGAAGTCAGCTTCCTGCTTCAATCGCTTCTCAAAACTTGGAACTCTAAACGGCTGCGATGATGGTTTAAAATTCAAACACGTGAAAAAAAGGATGAAATTGCAGTTTATCAAATTAATCATTATTTAGCGGCTAAATATTTATAAAATGTATAAACCACCTCTTCCGGTTCCGGTTTATAAGGTGCATAGGCGGGGAAAGCTGGAGATTTTGGAGTACCACTTTTTCGGCCTGATAAGTCTGTAATTGAATTTTATTTATTCTATGTTTTTAAAGATTTGTGTCAATTAAACATCTTTGATCTTTTAATTGAAAATATATAAAACAGCACAAAAGTTTAATTTAAAAATTGAACAAACCAGGAAGATGCAAAGTAGCGGAAGTGAGGTCACTGCCCAGATGATTGATGGCCTTGCAACTGTACTCTCCTTCATCTTCATCTCTCAAATCGTAAATGGTCAATGTGGTTACCCCGGAGTTTTGATCGTAGGTTGATTTGTACCTGATTCCATGCAACACGTGACAATTCAATCAAATAATAAACTAAACATTAATACAAAATTTGAATTCAACGATTAACAGTTAATAAAAGTTTTCTAAAATTCTCGTACCTATTTTTATCCACCAATGGATGGCCTTTACGAGTCCAGAGTATTTCGGCCGGGGGGTATCCGTCCACTTTACATTCAAAATAAGCAGTACCTCCCCTCCTCAGAGGCTGATTGGCTAGTGGTTTGACGAATGATGGGGATCGTTCCATTGGTTGTCTAAATGCCGGCTCAGGTGCTAAAAATTGCATCGAATATTTTAAAAATTGTTCATAGTACAAAAATGGGATTGTTTCTTGTTCTTATATTTGTTGAGTGCAAAAACTGATGGTACCTTCCACAATGAGTGTCATCGATGTTGTAGTTGGCCAGCCAGATATTGAAACCGTGCAACTGTAACGACCACTGTCCTCTTTATATACTTGAGGTATTTTCAATCTTTAAAAAAATTTGCAATGACATTAAAATTATTTTCAATATATAATAATAAAATTAAATTTTTTCGATAATTTTTCATCAATTGAGACGAACAACAAATTGTTTAATAGAGACCAAAGATCAGCCGCAAAGCCGAAACCAACCTGCAAACACCTAGCGTGAATGTTATTTCGTAATCGGGACATGAGAATATTTCAATCTCGTTCTTGAACCATTGAACTTTATCTGGGTTCGGGTATGGAGCCAAAACACATTCCAACGTAACTGGTTTGCCCTCCACTGCTCTCACGTCTGACAACGGCTGAGATCATTTTTTTTTAATTTTTCATAATTTATTATAATTTTAATATTTAATTATATAGTTATGTTGAAACCAACTTTGAGAAAGTGAAGTTTCTTAGGAGGTGACGGTTGAACGATTTTTTTAGGAACGCTGGCGATTGGAGGGGGAGGTGTTACCGATTCCTCTTTGCTAGATACTTTTCAAGAAAAGTTAACGCTGATGATCATGATTCAGTTTTTTGCAGACCATTACAATATAAAAATTATTCGTCGGGTTTGAATAAATTTTGAATGGTTCGTGAAAATTTTACAAACCTTCTACGTTTAAATCAGCAGTGCATTGCGATTGTCCCGCACTGTTCGTTGCTTTAACCGTTATCTTGCCTTGGTCCTCGCCAAACACTTCTGGTATCAGTAAGATGTGCTCGTCGCCTGATTTTGATATTTGAAAATCTTTCGTGTTCATAATTTGTTGTCCTTGTCTGAACCATGTCACTTCAGGTTCTGGTTTGCCCGTAACTCTGACGGAGAGTTTGACAGTATCTCCTTCTCTTACGGAAGTTGATTGCAGTCGATCGAGGAAACGAGGTGGTTCTTGGGGTGCTGTATAACAAAAACGTGGAAATTGTGTTAAATAAAATAATTATCGTTGTAAAAAATTGACAGCTCATAAAATTTGAACAGTACGTTAATACAAAAGAAAATCAAAAGTACCTTTAACATTCAGTTGAGCGCTACTTTGCACTTGACCACCTTCATTTTTGGCGACACAGACGTATCTACCCGTGTCTTCTTGTGTTGCGTGTCGAATGATCAACTGAACCAAAGCTTCTTTTTTAATGATGTCATGATTTTTGTCGGGTCTAACTTCTACTCCGTTTTTGTACCATGTAATTTCCGGGACAGGTTTGCCTGAAACGTGAACTTCAAAAGTAACTTCAGTGCCCTCTTCAACGTTTAAATTTTTCAGCGACACAGTAAACTCCGGAGCCACTGGAAGTGGTATCACCAAATCGACCGGCTTGAGGAGGGCTGGTTTCTCAAGATGCGACAAAAAAGTCGGAGAAGGCACAGGTGATATTTGAGCTAACTTTGTTGTTTGAGTAATTTTCATCAAACTAGGCTGAGGTTTTTTAATTGGAGTTTCTGCAGGAGAATCACCAACGTGAAGCAACATCGTGTCTTCGACAACCACAAGCAAGGCCGAGCACGTCGCTTGTCCAACTTCATTTTCTGCAACAATGCTGTAGCGACCAGCGTCAACTACATGCACTTCAGGGATGTGCAATATGTGCTGTCCACCGGGTCCTATGCGGATTATGTATGGTGCAGAATTTGAGATTGGTTCGTTGTTGAACAACCATCTGACTCTCGGTGTTGGATTTCCACCAACTACCACAACCAAATCGCAGGGCTGACCAGGTTTAACCCTGGTGTCTCCAAACAACTTGAGGAATTCAGGAGCTGACTGGCCAGGAAGAAGGGAGGTTTTCTGAGAGTAGCTGTGACCGGCTTCAACTAAGCGAGTTTTCATGAGATGCGAGTCCGAAGTTTTGTTTGTGATAAGGGAATGATAACCTTTGGGCAGCCCCGGCGCCGTTTGTGCTCGCACAACGTTAGTACCCGCGTCTTCTTTTAATAACTCCAGGTATGGTTAAACTTTGCTTTCTCGATCTTGTTGTTTTTATCTGAAAAAACATTTTTTTTTGATTTTAGATTGTTTCTTTGATAAAATTTTATTAATGCAACATCCAGATAAGAACCTGAAAATCTGCAGATGATTGTATTTGATTTCTGCCTCGATACCACTTGACAATCGGTTGAGGATTGCCGATAACACAGCAATCAAACCTGATCAATTCGCCTTCGGTTCCTTCAATGTCCTTCAAGAGTTGAGTAAATTTTGGAGGAACGAGGTCGGCCAGCAGAGTTCCCGATGCGTCACTCATTTCGCTCAATGCTGTTCAACATGAATACTCATCAACATTACAAAAGGCTATAAAAATACTAAAATAGATTTTTGCTCTATTTGTTAAGTGTTTCAATTGTTTAAAATTTAATCAAACTGTTGTTAAGAAAAGCTAATTAATTTTATTTCACTTTTATTTCACGAGAATACAAAACTCACATTCAACTTGAAGTCTGCACGTCGTAACATCACCACCATGAACGTTTGTAGCGACACACCTGTATTCACCTGCATCTTCCAGGTACACTTCCTTGATTATCAAAGTGCATCTCTCTCCATCAAATCCTATTTGAAAATCTTTTGAATCTTTCAGCTGTTTGTCATCTCTGTACCACAGTATCTAAAAAGACAACAGAAATGATAATCTGATGTTTGCCGCAACAATTAAATGCATATCAAAACAAACACGAATGTGTACAATTTTTATACTTATTTAATGAAAACTTTCATTCATAACATATTATTATTGCAATATAAAATATCTAAAAACGTTACAGCACCTGTGGGGTGGGAAAACCAATCACGTGACATTTGAAGTGAGCCCTGGATCCCTCCTGCACGTCTTTGTTTTGCAAGAAATCCACAAATTTTGGCTTGCATGGTACTTGAGATCCGGGAATTCCTGACGACAAACTCAAACCTTCGATGTCGAGATGACATGAGGTTCTTGTTTCGCCTCCCAAGTTTCTGGCCACCACTGTATACAAGCCTGCATCTTCGGGAAAGAATTCTTTGATTTCCAGCGCCGAATATCCGTGATCGACAACAATTTTAAAACTGGAACTTGGAATTATTTGGCCGTCGTTTCTGAGCCATTTGATTTGAGGAGCAGGTTCGCCAGAAAACTTAACAGAAAGTACCACTTTGGTACCTTCTTTGACTTGCTGATCTCTCAGAGCCTCTGTAAATATTGGCTTCTGAACAGCTGTTATAATGTAGCAATAGAAAAATTATCCAAGTTCGCTAAACATGAACGCAAAAAATTCTACAAATGAAAATATAGAAAAATGAAAAACATTCTTTGTCTAACATAGAAAAATATAACAAATTTTTATTTAAAAAATAAAAACACTGACAGACGACATTGATAGAAGCAATAGATTCAGCCTCCCCTCCCTGGTTAGTTGCCTTGCACATGTACTGCCCACAGTGCACATTTTTTTGCAGCTTTCTAATCTTAACGGTGTAAGTATTTTCCAATCTGCTGACTACAAAATCGTCACTGGGGCCATCCAACGGTTTGTCGTCTTTGAACCACGTTACTGTCGGAGCCGGAAATCCGGTGATTTGAACTTCCAAGATGGCTGATGTTCCTTCGGGAAGTTCGATGCAACGAAGAGGAACAACAAATGTTGGTGGGATGACCTTATGCAGGGCTTCTGCAAATTAGTAATTTTTTTTTATTTCTTTTTTCTTAAATAAAATTAATTTATACATCTTCAAAAAAATTACAATTTCATTCGTTTAAAATTTTTACAAATATTCCAATTGTTTATTAATAGTTAACAATATTTCAAGGGTGTTAGATCTATTCATTCAGATCTCACCTTTGACAGTGAGAGTGGCCGATGTTTCAGCCTCTCCAGCTTCAGTAGCAACTTTGCATCTATATGTTGAACTGTCATTGATTGTCGTCTGCGCAAACCTCAGCTGACACAAACCATTCTTGAACTCAGTGGCGAGGGCGTCGTTGATGGTGACTGGGGTGCCATTTTTAAACCATTCAATTGTGGGGTTCTTCGTGTCGCACTCCAGGCGGCATTCAAATGTGAATCTGCAACAATTATTTTAAATTATTTTTTTTATTATATTCATTCAAAACTGTTCATTCCGAAATTAATTTGTATTATTTCATTTTTTTAAATGGAAAAAATTATTTTGAATTAAGTTGTTAATTTAAAATGTAAGAACCGACCTGTTGCCTTCAACGATTTCAGCGCATTGCAGGGGCTCCACGAATCTTGGCTGCCTCGGGGCCTTCTTCTCCACCACAAGCTCCATTTGAGCCAGTATAGCCTAGATTTTGCAATAAGTTGCAAACATTTAAGAGAGTTTGTGGAAAATCTATATAAAAATCAAAATGTTGAAAAACGATAGTTCAACTCTAAACTTAGCAAAATTGTATTAGAACTGGGATTTAAAAACTACCAAAATAAAAAATGTTTATGTTAAAATTTACAGTAATTCTAAAAAAAACTGCCAACTTCTTTCTTGGATAAGTTATCTCTCAAGATGGAGAGTTCTTCAATGGCCTTGATGATGTTGTTGATCATCTCCTGGTTGCTGTCCACTACATGCTGCATTTTGTGTGGTCCGTTCACGTTCCCTTCATACGGTTTGATTGGATGGCGCAGTCGGAAATGAACAATCAGCGAATGGATTCGCCAATTAAAAATTATTTCAAATCGGTAGATAATCAACAAATTAACTAAATTTACTAAACATTGAGTCAATCGCTTAATCAACCAACCAATTAACCAACCGACCAATCAACCAACCATCCAGCCAACCAAACAGCCAACCAACCATATAAATCAGTAGCAATATTTTCCATCCTGTCCAATCTCTCGTTCTGTTGTATTGTTCCCTTGTCCTTGAATTTCACGAGCTCTCCGATCAGTTTGATGACGTCATCAGAGGTCGTACATTCGGTCGCCCTCTGGCCGATGTTGACTAGAAATTGAGACGCCCCGTTGATCCAGCCTTCGCACTGACGGAAATGATGATGATGAAAATGATGATGATGATGGTGGTGGTGGTGAAAATGATAATGATGATGACGACATCGGTAACGATCATAATTAAAAATACCTGAATTAATAATACTAAAGACTGTTAATAAACAGCCAAAATAAATAAAAATAGTCTTAAATAAAAACTTGTTAACACTTCTTTGGAAATATTAGGTACAGGTATACTTTTGTTTATATTTTGTATTTAAGATTGTATATAATTTGTATTTAAGACTGTATATAATTTGTATTTAAGATTGTATATAATTTGTATTTAAGATTGTATATATTTTGTATTTAAGATTGTGTATACTTTGTGTTTAAGATTGTATATATTTCGTATTTCATCAAATTTTGTGATACGTCACACAAAAGGTCGAAAGCTAAAGTTGAACTTTTACCAACTCACCAATTCCATATCCTCAAAAAACTTTAACGACTCATCAATGTTCTTGCGGTACGCGGAGATGGAGTTGTGGAAGTCTGACCACTTCCTCTCCACTTCCTCCACTTCTCTCTTTATTCTCCTCGAGTCGTAGCGTCCATCTTTCACCATGAGATCGGCGGTGTTGGAAAAGTTTTTCACCTGAGTTTCATGAAACGTCAAACAATTTGACAACAGTTGTTTAGAAGATGCACTTTTAATATAAAATAAAAACTCATCATTAGAATATTGCAAATTTCTTAATGCAAATCAATCGTATTTATGACAAAAACTGACCACCGATGACCACCAACAACCACCAACGACCACAAAATGTACCTTTCCTTCAATCATCTCAGCTGATTTTTCGAAGAGTTGGTATGCCTGGGAGATCATCTTGACTGATGATGTGGACGTCCCATAGTTTCCGTGTCTACTCTTCAATATTCTGTGCAGTTCGTCTAGTTCGTTGTGCAGCTGAAAGAGAAAATTTTATTCAAACGCATTCAGAAACGTTTGGTTAGAAAATTTTTTTACAATAAAAATTACAACAATCATTCAATAAAATGAAGCGCCATATAAATTTGTACATCAATATTATTATTTAATTGTGATTATATAGATTTTATAACGATTAAGCCATTTTGCAAGTTAACAAGTGCATAACAAATTATTTAAACAAACAGCATACGGTAACAAATACGACCAACCTGTCTCAAATCGAAGTAGAACTGACACATGTGCAAATTTTGCTCCAGCCTGTTCCTCTGCTTGTCCCACGTGGATTCCCAGGACTTCCTTCTCTCGTCGGCCATCATCAACACTTTCTGGATCTCCTCAGATGCGATCGTTTCCGCGTCCTGTTATCAGGAGTTGCGATTGAAATGTTTGAAAAGATGTCCATGCTGACTCTGATAATGTTGAGTTGAATAATAATTCGGGATCCTAATGAAACGAACAACAATTATAAAGGATCATCTACCTGCTGTCTAACTCTCATCACGATCTCTTCGCCCTCATTCAACGTTTGACCAATCAGATGCTTCAATTTATCTCTGTTGGATCTGTGCTCAGCCAACAGTAATTGAGCGTTGGTCAGGTTGCTGGGCAGTTGTTTTGATGAATATTCATGTTCCGTTTGTTCTATCATTTTGTCCAGCTAAATAAAGTTATAAACTTTAACCGTTATTTTTGAATAATTGCAAATAAATAAATATTCAAAAAAATTATAATTAAATTTGTCAACAATAAAAAAATCCCAAATGCTAACTTGATCCAAGTGCTCAAAGAACTTGTGAGCCATGGCGAGTAACGTTTTGTATTCGTTCAGCCTGGCCTGGAATCTCGTGTGCACCCGCAGCAACTCAGTTGTGATTTGATCTCTCTGACCACCCGTCTCGCCCTTGCTAGCCAGTATTTCCGCCTCTTTCAACAACTTTTCTATTGTTTCGTAGGCTTTCTGTAGTTCAAGTTGGAATTTTAAATTTTATTAATATTGCAAACGTAAAATTATTTAAAATAATCGTTTCAACGTGCAAATAGGTCATAACTGCGTTTTGTCAAAACTCATTCCCACACATCTTTTTGCAATTTCATTTGCTTTATAACTAAATATATCATTTACTAAATGACCGTCATTAATATCACCGACATCATCATCGTCGTCGTCGGTCATCATCGTCGTCGTCATCGGTCGTCATCATCATCATCGTCGTCGTCGTCCTCACCTTGGCAGTAGGTCTGAAGAGATCCAGCTTGTTCTGCAGTTGCGAGACCTCCTCCAGGTTCCTGCCAAGATATCCCGCCAAGTACGGCGAGAAAAATTCTTTCTCTTCTTTTGCTACCCATTCTAAACCCTTCGTGCAAAAATTTGTCAAAAACAAATTATGAATAATTTTGCAATTTTGGTTACAGAAAAATAATTTTTTATTGCACAAAATCGCGGTAAGATTTTATAAAGAAAAAAACCAACATTCTTTGCCTCTTGCATGAATTTTGACCATTGACCTTTGAACTCTTTGTTTGAGGTCACATGCACTTTCCAGTGCTGGTGGTACTCGGTGATTAAGTACTTGCGTTCGAGGAAATGGTGGAGAAGGTTTTCTACAACGGCGACTGCATGCTTTGTGTCCAACTTCTCGTCCACCTTTGCCTGTTTATTCGTTTTGTAACACTTAACGTGTAAATGTATTGAATAAAATATTGCGCGCGCGCGCGCGTGTGTGTGTGTGACTGTGTACGTGGTTGCAGTTATCATTTTTATTATATCAGGTCAGTTATCATGATCTGGACGAACGATATTTGACGCATTATTATCGCCGCCCGCCACACATCTCCATCATCATCGTGTCCATTATTTATCTCACTCACTTCCGATGCAGTTTTGATGAAATTTTTCCCGCGACTTTCGACATCGGTCAACTCGGTATTCAACTGATTAACGGTTTGCTCCTTGTACCGAACTGTCGAATCGGATACTCGGGTCGGATCGACTTTTTCAACTTTCAGGTACTCTTCAACAATGTCCATTTGAATGGCCAGCTGATGTTGGATAAGTTGAGTAAAATACTAAGTTGAAAGGTAATAGTTATGATAGTATTTTACATGATGATGAGGAGAATGATGACTATTGAAAATGATGACCAGCTTGACGATGATGATGATTTGGTCGATTAATTTGAACGTTGTAATCTTTCATTCTTCATCATAATGATAATAATTTATTTTATGCTGTGACAATGATGACGACGACGATGAT